GAAACAAACTGCTAACGGGACATATATTGGATTAAAACACATTCCGTGCACGATTGTATTGGTACACGCTGATTGACTGTTTCTTATGTAATCAGCGCTAGTCAATACTTGGAGAACACTCTAGAATCTTATGTAGAAACTATAAATATACCAACTTTTTTCTTACTGTGAGTCTTACTTCCATCTACCCTTGTTACTTGGAATATAATTTCGTTCCTGTTCAACCGTGTTCTGATTTGGGGACTTGTCGAGTGTATTGGTGTCCAAGAATACTAAGCAATAGGAATAGCTGGGTTGTGATAAGAGAGAATTAAAACACAAACACAGCTATATATCAAGAATAATGTTAAAGTTGACTTACTTGATACTTAAAATGAAACCAATAAAATAGAATTTATATTTCTTTTCATTTTCTGTAACATATAGCTATTTCTATTTTCTTTCCTTTATATATATATAACATATCCCTTCTGTCTTCTTTGTCTTGGTTATAGAAAACGAATGACAGCCACTGAATGTTTACAACATCAATGGCTAAAGGTAAATGTTTCATATTGTCTATTTTGTAATTAGTAAACAAAAAATATATTAGCATCAGAAGGGGTTTTGTGGATATTATAGTAATTATTTAATAGTTAAGATCATGAGTCAATTGAAGACAGACCACCATGAAAATCCTGAAAGCACTGGGAGTTCATTTCGTCCTATTGTGGGACTTCCCGGTAGTGCGCATCCACGACCCCGCCTCGTGAGTTTCGAGGTTTCCCATGGTGGCCTAGTTTCAATTGATCCATGTTCTCAACTATTAAAAAAAATATTATTTTCTGTAGAAATACTCTACATCATAAACTGATAATTAGATGGAAGCTTATTGGAAGCTAAGCTTCTCTCTCGTATACTTTCTTTACATTGAACGAATCTTTACAGTTCATTTAGTCTAGTAGTAATAAGTAATAATATGTAATAAGTATGGAATTGTTACACACTGTTGAGGAGTTCAGTAGTACAACAAAATAGCTTCTCAATCAGTTTCTGGTTTTCAATAGTTTTCTGTTTATTCATTTGATCATAAGTAACGTAAAAACTGGCAAATATGTGTATGTATCCAGTTCACTACATCGTATTATCAAGATAAAAGTCAGAATAGTAAAAGCAGTTACTACATCATTTGTATTAGAAAACATTAGGCATCAAAAATAGGATTCACGAGGAATAAATTTTTGAAATAAAAAGTATAGAACAATCTAGGAGACAAAGAGTGAGTGCATTTACGTTGATTTTGTGCCATGCCATTTGTTATTTACAGCAATCGTGCGTGATCAAACACGGTAGTCTGCATCTACTAATAGTGGCTCAGTCCAACAATCATTAATTTCATGGACTGATGTCCTAAATGAGATACCCACATCCTAGTATTCATGTTTACTTTAAGACTCGTACCCAGTACATTTCATTTCAAACGCTCAACAAGTTATACATTGAGCTGCTAAGTTTGGTTGGTCAATGATTTAATCAATAGACATGTTTCTATCATTAGTAATATTTCGAACGATTCCAAAATCTATCTATTCTAATGATGATTTATAATCGGCAAGATTTATTAGCTCTAAATATAAGTTTTAAAAAAGCTGTTCACCATCGAGTTTACTCCTGAAGAGAAAACTTTTGAGACTACAAATATACATATACATTTTCTCAAACTACTTTGTATTTCATTGAAAATCACCATTCAATATACACAATTCACTTTACACGGTTGTTCTCTTTGTAATTTCTTTGATCATCTTTTTAATTCTTGACATTTATTTTCTGAATTCTTTACATGTTTTTCTAATAGCAAAAGAAAAAAACACCATCACGTTCTGGAACAGTCAGTAAAAAACGTCTGAAACATTTTGTTTATCGACGTAAATGGCAAGTAAGTGATTGTGTGAAAGAATTAGCATTTTCTTCATTATTTAGTTTGTATATTATGTTTAGTTTGTATGATTTATCAAATATGATGTCCTGTACCATTTATTTTGTAAATAAATATTTTACCTGTGGTGTATATATTGAGATGCTATTCACGATCTGATTGGTAAATAATTTCAGTTAAGGACGTCATTGCTAAAATAGGTGGTTTATGGATATTTTCTAATTTGAAGTTAGTTTGCATCAGGGATTGAAATAAAGTAAACTGCATTGGATAGTCGTTTCATCTAAATTATAAAATTCTCAGTATTATCTGAGCCTTAACATGTAGATACCGGTCTTCAGTTAATAAGCGGCTCATAATCCCATCACTAATCAGTGGTCCACATTTCCTAATTCTGTCTGTTTCTTAGGATCAAGCAGAGGTGTTAACTAGCGTGCCATTTTACGTAGCTAAAGACAGTTTCAGTCCTCTCAAGATTGTAGGTGCACCTTGCTAAAGAGTGTCAACTAGCAAGGAACTTAAGTCCTACCGGTCACCTCTAACCAACTCAATATAGTCTACGCGATATCAAGTCACTTGGAATATTGATACCATCTCAAAGCTAATTACTAGAAAACAATTATTATTTAACTGAGTGGTTTGTAAAGATGAACTCAGTTATATAACGCTTTCCATCACTGACATATATCGGCGAAAAAAACTACAGAAACTATGTGTGACTGTGCCTGAGGTCGTGAGTAAACCGTACTCAGGAGTAGCAACACAATAATCAAACAACTGTAAAATACTTTCCGATGTTGTATAGCTTTTCAGCTATGAAAGCACTTAGACTTGTATTTTAGGATTGGTTAACAACTAACAACACCAAATACATACGGTAACTTCGAAACTTTGATGTCAGTCGTATACAAAAAGCTAAACCTCTTAACCAGTCTTAGGAAAAACAATGAAATCGTAAGAAAAGATAAATAGTGGCTCGTTAGATGAACCCACCATATCCCGAATTTGATTGTCGCTGAGGGAATTGAACCCATTACCTTTCTGTTCAAACGCCATCGCGTTATCCACTAAGCTACTAAGTGCAGAGACTGATCAATTATAGTCCTAAACATCAATTGGAAGTCCCAAACTACCAATATATTTGAATCAAAATTACCAATGGAGTTGGTTTGAAATTTAGAATTACTAAGAGATTTTCTAATGTTTTCGTAATTCATGTTATCAGCTACTGTTTTATTTATCAAACAGAGCTTTCGTATGAGTTTGACGTTTTTGTATTTATTCTCTTTTTAGAAAGCAGTAAATGCGATTATAGCATTACAACGTATGGGTGTTGTACTACAACATTCGCCTATAATGCAATCAAGACATCCAAGTCTGTCTATACATGGTATAAATAGATCACTTGAAAATGAAACTAAACGACCTAAACTTCCACAAGCCACTGGACATAAATTATTATCAAGTAGCCCAACACCACCCCCAACAGTTAGTAAAGAAAGTTCACCAAAATTAATGAAGAAACCTTCAGGTATATTTAGAAAAACCAGTTTCTTTGGTAAAACACGAAAAGATGACACGACTACTAATAGTACTAGTAATAATGGAACTAAAAATAAAAATAAAGCTAATGAAAACTTATCAGATCCATCAACATCGCATAAAAATAAATTAGACCTATCACTTAAATTAAAACGTAAAGAGAGTGGTAAAGGTTTTGTTTTGCAACGGCATAAAAATAGTCAACAGTCAACATCATCAGATAGTCCTTCAATTATACCTAAAATTAGTATAACAAGTGAACCGAATTCCAGATCCTCAAGTAAGTCAGAAACAGTTGTAACCATCCCCAAACAACAAAATGACACTTCTACTTCGTCATCATCTATATTTAAAATTCAGAAAAAAAATAGTGCATCAAAAATAATACAATCAAATGTGAAACAATCAAATCCTTTCATTGTAAAAGATAAAAAATCTTCCACATCAACATCACCGTTGCCACCAATCTCAACCTCTAATTCTCCACTAACAAAATCAATAGAGAATACAACCAATGAAAAAGAGAAATTGTCAATTGGTAAAACAAAAACAATATTGAACACAAATGATACTACTAACAATCTTATTAGTAGTCATAGTAAAACAACAGACACAACAACTGTTAATACACATCATAATTTTCATAAAGTTCCAACAAAATCAAAAAATGCAACATCTATTTCAAAATCAGATATTGCCCTAAAAATTAATTTCTTTTCAAATTTATCTAAAGAAGGAAAAGTTAAATGATCATTGTACAGTGATTCTATTCTCTACTTTTGCATGTTTGATTTATCTATTTGTAAATTCTTCTTCTTCTTCTTTTGGGTTTTATGAAATATATTGTTGTTGTTGTTTTTCTTTTCATTTCATCTCCATTTGTCCATGTTTTGTATGTATGTATGTATGTATGTATGTGTGTGTAAGTAGTTAGGTAGGTAACAAGAGTTCATATTTGCTTATTTCAATAAAAGAATAATTTCATATTTAAATAATGAAACAAAACAAAATAGGTTTTGTTACAAAAATACGATACACTTAATAATAAACAAAATAAAAATCAAACAAAATTTTAAAAAAATTTTTTTCTACATATCAATTTAATCATCCTAAATGATTGATATTTATAATAAATAAACCTGTTTCCTTTTTTGTTTTATTTTGTTGTCAAGGTGTTTACTATCTAATGAAAATTATAATTATTCACTAATAATATCACATATATTAACTTTTCATGTTCGTAGTTACTAAGATAAAAATATTGTACCTTCGTAGATTTTCTCAATAAGGATCAGTTTTTTTTTAAAATGAAATAAATCTAAAATATTAGAATCATACGATTTCTTTATTTCAAACTGTACAAAAGCTCATTATTCAAATGAATATCAAAACAAACAAAACAAAAAACCACAATCATTCTTCTGTTATTGTTTTATCTTTTATTAAAGTATAAAACAATAAAGATTACATCATCAATAAGTTAATAAACGTCATGTTCTTTTTTTTTCGTTTTGGTTATATATAACTTACTATTTCATTATTTTTCATCTATTTCATTTTATCTATATAAAAAAGAATTATTATTTGAAATAAAATAATAATAAAACGATAATTTAAATAAAATGATGAATTGGTTTTGGAAACAATTTCTATTTTGAGATAGTTCATATTATTTGTAAAGGGGTTTGATTTGAAGAATACTAAGTTTAAAGTGGTTACGAGTTTACTTAATCTAAGAATGAAACAAAGATTTGTGACCAAAGACTAATAAGATAGCTATTCTATTGCGTCTCAGCTCTGCTAACTAGGGAGAGAAGTCGAAAACCGAACGCGGAATTTTTTTCTGCAAAAAGCCAGAAGAACGAGCGACAACAACAGACACAAATCAAAACGTATATATACAGCACAAAACCGTCCTTGAGACGGGTTATAAAATAGAATACTAAAAGACATAACGGACCAATAGCAGTTAAGATTCTCCCAAATGGGAAATACATGAAAGTGAATGCTATAACTTGTGACCTGTGTTCCCCGTTAATGTATAACGCAACGATACCGCCAATAAGAGAGCAGTGAATTATCGATCAGATCAATGACGCGTAAACCCGTATGAGCAGTCTAGAGTACTTATTGACCCTGCTTCGTACCTAGCCCAGCCAGTTAAGCCCAGAACACTAATTTCACCCTCTACAATATGAATCATTTATTTCAAATACACTTGGTTTATATACAAACCAAGCAGACCATATCGTACCAATAAAATAGGAAACAACATTTTTATGAGATTTGGCCAAAGGTGGCTGTGAATGAAGGAGGTAGTAATTAATAGACGGCATAATTCAAGAATAGTAAATCGTATAATAATAGTCTATCGGTCAAAACAAAGCTCATAACAGGGACATGAATATAAATAGTTTATTTATTTAACAATTATACGATAAAAATATAAGCATAGTATTGGTCCACAAATGGATCCCAAAGTTACCATTCACTATGCTTATCGGGACATAACAGTGAAAAGAGCGCTTTTGGCGCGAAAACAAAGGAATTCAAATTTTCAAAGTAAAATTACAAAATTAGGTTCATTTTCAAGTTAGTTCTGAGGATCTAACGTCCCCAGAAAAAAATCATGTAAACAAAAATACTAGTTTCTTTTAACTATTTTATCTCACACATTACTATGTAGCTAATATATATTGATATAATAATCTCATTCCTTTGTGTCTGGTTTCTAATGTACACTGTATATATTTGTAGTTGTGAATAGCCCACTAAAATGAACAATTTGTTTAACCATTCAACAGTGATACTAACCATACCAAGCTGATGTTAAGTATCACTTCTTTTTATTTATTTGAACATAAATATTGGTACAAAGGAGCACCGAATTCATATGCGCCACATAAGTCACTCGATTTGTTTGTGGGCTATGATACTGCCCGGGTGCCAAACCGAAGCAGGTGGTTTTCTTAGACGGCCACATCCTGAGCCTCTGACCTAAAGGTATGACCCACAAAGCAGTGGAGCAACGTCAGGAGATGCCGTCCCGTGAAAGCCGGTGATCAACAATAGGTTCATACACCATTTGTTCCACTAGTTCTCTGGAGCTCATGTGCACCACTGGTTCGGAATAAGAGTTTTTCAAATTTCCTAGGTGGACCCTCCATATTCATCAACCCAGCCAAAGAGCCGGACATTCGCTCTTCGTCCTCTCAATTCCGTAAACAACACGCCTTCTGTGAAAAGGCAATGAGTAGGACTTTCCTCGCAGAGGCTGTAAACGCATGGCCATGTGAGAGCATTTCGAGAGGAAGAACGGACTCTCCCACCCTCGGTCGTACCAGGGCATTTGAGGATTAGGTATCACTATCAGATTATAGTATAATCTGACATGAAACACTTATCCTATGATAAATAGCTGGTTTGGAAGTCCCATATTTACCGAACTTCGCACACAATCAAAAATAACCTACCTAACAACCATTATCACATTACCCTTTGTCTGCCTGTAAGTCAATTCGTTAGAAGATATATGGGTGCCAGTATTATCTGACATCGTATATAGAGTATTTTTCACGTACGTATGTGGTATTTAAACATTTTTCCAATAACCTGACCCATTCGGAGTCGTGGGAACCTAAACCTTCATTAAATAAATTACGTTCAGTTCAGTTGCAATATATTTGTATGTACCGTGTGTTTTAAATGCTAAGCTATCGTTAGATATTGAAAGTCGAGTTATCACCTCAATCAAGTACAGAGATAACTTTAAGAGACTATCACTCAACCAAAAACGTGTTTAGTTACAAAGCGATTTAGAATAAAGTAATGAAACTTAGGTAAATAAACAATTTTAACATGATTGATGGACGAACAAAAGTTAAGGTTAGGCATTAGGAGCCCTGGTAGATACAGGATTTGAGGTTAGAAGTTTTAGGGTTAGTATATGTATATAGATAAAGTGAATAATTTTCAGTCACAAAAACACCCTTGACCATGCCCTGAATCACGTGAAGTACGTCCACAAATAATCTGTATTAGATACAAGTATTTCTTGTGATTTAGCCAACGCAATATGTTACATTCTCTGTGTGGTTGGAACAAAGATAATTTTTACAATTTTAACCATTCTAGGAACTAATTATCAGTAACTTTTCCTTATTTTTCAATAAGATACCTGCTATACCTCAATAAGGTTTGAATCTTGCACGAAATTCGATAAACGACATCTTTAATATAACCAGTTCCCTGAAGGTCGTCACTATAACATAGTTTTGTCGAATACTTATCAAAATAGATACATTGTAATCAGTATACACACATCCAGACATGATAATAGTACATCTCAGTTCATGTGGATAAAGCACAAGAACAGAATGATTACAAAGTATGCTTTACGGTATAAATCTAATCTGTTCCATTTGTAATTCTTTGAACTTCACACTCATTATCAATGTTAGCTTTATGCTGTAAAACGACAACAAAACCATAAAAAAGAAAACAGTTAGATTACTATAATACATAATATACAGATATGCAGTAATACAATATCAGCATGTTATTTTGATCCTCTGGTTTTCAGCTTGTTTGCAATTGAACTAAGCGGGGCAACATGATAACCTTCAGGCCTGAAAGAATTTTTCGAAAGAAAATATCACCCAGAGAATATATGTAAGTAACATGGAATAGCATTACTGTATACATATACTACACTTTAGATTTCGCATTAATGTAATAGTAATTTAATGACGAAGAATTGTGAGTAATACCAATCGTTATAGTTAAATTAAGATTAGGTCAGATGACTGACAATGAATTTGAATATTTATTCATAAGAAATTATTTTAATAAACGGAGTCTGTGAAGATTGTTAAATTTCATCTTTTACATCACGGAGTGATCTAAGTTAGGAAGCATTGGAGTTTTTCCGAACTGGTATGGAACTACTTATCAGTGTGCATAAATGAGGCTACTGGGAATCTAACCCAGGACCTACAGGTTTCAAAGTGACCAATTTTTAGACCACTGAGTCAGGTTTACATTCTTAGCTTCAATGAATCCACGATATCGCATGACAATTTTCTAATGTCTTACATCCGACATAGCTAAAATCCACTAGTCAACCGTCGATATTAGTTGCTAGTGAGTATATGATTATTCCAATAGATTTACAAATATGGATTTTACAAACTAAACCAATGCGTCTTAGTAGACAAATAAACATTTATGTATTAAGTTTTACGTCGAACTTTTGTACATGAGGGGAGGGGGTGGAGACACTACTTGAGTGATGTAAAACTTTAACCCAAGTCATTATTTTAATCATTGGGTCAAAGTGAACTGACAATCATTGAATGAAGACCAGAGACAACACAAAAAGACACCTGAAATATTGATATAAAGCTTATTGCGAAGACAACTAGTAAGTTTCATTGATACAGAAGTTAATAGACTGTGTTGCTCATGTAAAATCACTATGTACGCCAATGTGTTACATCAACTGAAGTATGTTGGGAAAGTGTTAATGATAAATTCAACTGATGTTTTCGTCCATGTCAGCTTCTGAGCTCATGTCAATTTGTCTACTTATACAATTTTTATCAACTAATTTTCAGTGAAAAAATAAACATGTACTACTTTAATAGACTTAAAGATGTTTTTCAAATGTAGAGTGAATAATCTTAATTAACAATTTCCGAAAATGACCAATATTTTCAATTAATTTGAACTACGTTAACTTCAGAGCCTTTTCAAACGGTATCATAAGTACCAGACATTTGCATGGTTTTCTGAACTACTTACATTTAAAAACAATTGATTTTATAGGGTTTGACCCAAAACAAGCAAATAAAATAACAACCGACATAAAATACAATTCTATAGGCGACTAACCAATCAAAAAGTTTAGGAAATTCATTAAGTTCTTCAGCAGAGTATTGATCAAGACGTTTTGGTACTTTCATAACTTGTGGTATTACTCCTGAAATATTGGCAATAATGTCCTTGGGAATAGTCTAAATTCAGTAACGAATTTTCAATTATTAATCAATACTTCAATATTATCAGGGTATATATGAAGACGAGATAATTGATATTTACGGGATTCATTATTTCGTAAGACGGCTTTAATTTCTAAACGAATAACCTGAGACGATAAAAAACAAGCAATTCATAAAAATAAGTAAATGGAAATCTCAACTTAACGTAAACTAGAGATGGCTTACTATTTTGATGAGTAGTTGGTTAAGATTAAATTTAATGACTTTTCAAGTAAAAATAGAACAGTGACTGGTGGGGTGGTGACTCAGTGGTTAATGTGTTAGAATTTCAGCCATTAGGTTTCAGGTAGTAATCAAATGGTAGAACTAGCCCTCAATACCTAAAAAATGATTGAAGCCAATTAAATGAATGTTTCTGATAAGTATTATAATAATAGTACCAATTAGCGGAAAATAAATAGGTGTCTAATTGTTTGTCTGAATAAGTACTGAATGAAAATTTGTAGATTAAACTATGAGCCATATTTTCCGTCAGGAATAACGACGTTAATTAACAGAGTGATCAAGATAAAGGTTTCGACAAACTGATTCGAGATTAATCTTAATAGAAATGTTAGTGTGATTAATTAGGTTCTTAAAAAGTTGATATTTTTATAGTTTTTAGAAGACGTAAGCCCAACCAATCACCTTAAGAAAGAAGGCTAGCAAAGATCAATATACAAAATATCTAAGTTTTTGTTGGGGACAATAGATCCCCAAACTCATATTTTTAAATTTTATCTTATCGATCAACTTATTGATTAAATGTTTAAACATTTGTATTGGGGTCAATTGATGAACTGATCGATTAAATGTTTGTATAGAAGTCAGTTGATGAACCTATCAATTAGATGTGCAAATAGGTCAATTGATGAACTATCGATTAAATGTGCAAATAGGTCAATTCATGAACTCATTGATTAGTGTTTACAATTTTTCTATGACAATATCGATTGTAAATATTGTATAAATACGCGTGAGTTGTGTGTTTGACGTGTTATCTGCTGTGTGTCTGCAGAATACACTTCTACACCTTACCCAGACTTCTTGATCGAGTTAGCAGAGTTGGGGGACAACGAACCAGAATAGCTATCGAGTCGCTGAGTCACTGATCCTTCGTTCATTGAGTAAGACGCATCAGTAATAGCATTCAAGCGAATAACGAATCATAACAAATTGGCGACGGTGGTTTTTGAATTATGGACCCTGCGAAACTTAAACTGTTACTTGAGCAGCAGCTGGAATTGATGCAAATGTTGATGGAGACCAAGATTACGCCTTCTTTACAACCAAGCACGTCTAGTTCGACCACAGCACCATCGGTTGATGGCATCGCAAATAGCATAGCTTAATTTCATTAAGATCCTGATGCTAATGTTACTTTCGAGATGTGGTTCAGGCGTTATGAAGATCTTTTTAAATTTGATTTCGCCAATCGAATTGATGCTTGAAAAGTGCGGCTGCTACTTCGTAAACTGGGTGCAAATGAGCTGGACAAGTATTGTAATCTGATCCTGCCGTTGAACCCACGTGATCGATCATTTGAAGACACAGTTCAAACATTAAGCCAACATTTTGGCGATAATTCGTCACTGTTTAATACTCGTTATCGTTGCTTGAAGCTAACTATGAACGAAGATGATGATTTTCTTACGCATGTAGGCGTCGTCAACCTCGTTGATCGCTTAAGATAGCATAATCTAAATTATCAAATTACGTAGGTAATAGGAATTTCATGTGTAGATGAGGCATAGTAATTAGTATGATTCAAGATTTTGCTACGAAACTTTACTGCTACGTTTGGTATGTACTTTTAATAATAAATATAAGTATACGAAGATCGCGAAGGATTAGACCTTAAACGTTTCAAACTTTGAGAAATATTGTTCATAAACCAAGATTGATAAACAGCACTTGCTCGTCTATTAACAGTACAATTGCAAAGTCTCTGACATAACATCAATAAACAGAAACTGAGTTACCAAAACTATTAATTAAAATACTTCAACATCACATTTAGAAGCACTAGGAACCAAACTGGCGAAAACCTTATAATTTGTACAAACTATTTTTCTACTACTATTACTATGCGTATATTATCTAACCTGCAATTAGTTGCTTCACTTATCACGAATTGTGTTTCTAGATCTAAGGGTTATGAAGTCTTTAATTTCCATACTCAACTACATCCAAATGTATTACATACGTATATAGGAGAAAACTCTAGGATGCTTTTATTGATTCTCTGATACTGAGAACAGAAATGAACGTCACAATAAAAAAACAAATAACCCATGGTTTTTAGCGTTTAAAAGACTTATTTTAGTATTAAAAAATACCAGTGACGTCAAGACATTTCAAACTTTATATTTTATGAGATAACTTGGAATAATTAATGAAGGTTCCAGGGTTGAAGGTTTGAGGTAGTGCTCAAACCGGTTATCGAAAATGCATGTAGTAGTTTAGTTAACGTTTTGGTGATGCATGAACATCTACTTAGGAGCAATTAGTTATACGGTTACTGTGGTATTTCAGTCTTAGAAAGCATTAATTAAGACGACCTTCACTACATAATACTGGAATTAGTAGATACTAATAAAATTTCACAGTAATGTGACCGGATGAAACATTTAGAAGTCAAAGGATGTCATCAATAGTCCAGTCTGATGCCAGATATAAGAATCTGATAGGTAACTGCTGTTTTGATAGACTGATTAGTATAATCGTTAAAGTACTGAAAGAGTCTAGTATATGAAGTAAAGCAATCTTCGATCAATGAATATGACTTTAGAAAAGATCGCTCCTGTTGAATTAGTATTACTGCAAGAGGCTGCTCAATAACTAAGGGTAGGAATGCATTTCTGTATGTAGTATATATATATATATATATATATATATATATATATATATATATATATATATATATATATATATATATATATATATATATATATATTGCTTGATAGTGTTAAACTTATAATAAAGATGTAAAAAGTATGAGCTGTCAGACTGAAGTGATAGAGGATAAAATGAAAATAAGTAGCATGTTATCCTCGTGGAAACTAGTGTTAAGTGAAGTGACTTAAGATATTAACTGAGACCGTTTTCTTTTTCCAATTCACTGAGTAGTGTAAATAACTTAAGATACCTGACAGTGATGTCAAAGTACGAAAAATGATGCGTAGTGATAACAAATCAAAGTTGAAGGCTGATTAGGTGGTCTAACATACAATAACTAGTGGGGTAATGTTGACCAGCAGAGAGGCGTGGTGTAAATCACTATGACTCACACCATTTCATAGTTAATGAGGAGTTTCTATCAAGAATTGTATATTAAAAGGAGCCGAAGGCCACTGTAAGTTATAAACCCAACTGAGAAGTGAAATATCCCGAGTCAGTTAATCGACATACTTATCTTGTCATTGACAAATAAGTATAATGATTAAAGTCACTATGGGTCGATAAGTAATAGAATGCGTAACTTTACAAAACCACTGACAGACTAAACAGTCATTTAGTATGCATGAATTAAAACTACTTGTAAGTTCACAATTATCTGCCTACCTCAGTAGGATCACGCCTGTGAATTTCCTCCATTGTTTCTTCAACGCGATTTACAGGGAACCTATAGTAAAAACTTCGCATCAAAAAGTTCAAACCTTGTATGTGTAGTGTATAAGAACCGTTTCCAATATCGACTATTATCTTTTGCAGCAATGTGTCTAGAATTGATCACAACAACATGACTCCCAAAGTCGGCTAGAAATAAGGACACAATATTAACGTACCACTGGGGTCATAGTATCGGATATTCTTTCCCGTCAAATACTTTGCTATTCTTTCGGCCGAGAGCATAGGGCACTGCATGAAAGAGTCATAAATGAGCCATTCTCTAGCAAATGCCCTCCATTGCTAAGGTTAATGACTTAGGAAAATAGAATACGTACTAAAACCCTCCAATGTGACATTAGCTACTAAAATAGCGCAGGAATTGATTTTTTACACACTTTCAATCGTCCGAATGGTTCAATTGGTTCTGGACGGAATCGAAGAAGCTTTCGCTTAACGGGCTTCCGTATCTATTATAGGTGGATCACTGATGCCTCCAAGTGAGAAAGTAGGTAGTCCTTAAGAATATATCAAGGCTTATCTTGGAGGACTACGGGTAAGTTGCTTGGACTAGCTCAGCCTACAGCGAATTCCAGTACTTAACTACTCTTACGGAGCAGAAGATGTGCCTGGAGCTCGTTCTGCTGTGTTGTGCCTCCAGTTTCTGGGTGTGAACCCCAAGTTTTTTCATTGGGACTAAGCTTAAGTTGGTGTTTAAAGGGAAGCCCAGAAGTATAAGGAATGCTGTAAGTCATTAGGTCACCCATAAGACGCTTTTATTCTTATGGGTAAAGGTTCAGTGATTGGGGACTTTGTTCATTAGTTTCGAATTTGACTCTCCGAATTGATTCCTCGGCTCGCCGTTAGATACGTTCTAGTTTATCCTTGTCCTTTTGGAGTGAGGGAGGAAACGATATGTTCCAAACACTAAATAAGATCGAATAAAACTGTTGAAGGTTGTGTGGAAAGTTCTTCTTTCCAACAAGCCAAAAATGCACTTCAATATTACCAGTGCAAGGTTTGCTCGGAAAGCATTTTTGTCTCAGCTTAAGATTTCGGATCGCAGGGTACCAACATTCTTAGATCTTTTTCAAAGTGGGTCACCTCTAGAAGGGAGTTACCTATGTTGTATTCATAGTCTGCGACATGTCTCAGATGGACTACTTCACACTTTGAAGTGTTAAAGGTAAGTCCGTTGTTGTCTGCCCAACTTTGAGGCCAGGTCTTATACTCCTGAAGTTCCACTTGCCCTTTTGGTTGCAAACGTTTTTCCGATTTCACATAATCAGTAAAGAAAGATGAAACTGACGATACCTGCAGTGGAAGACCCTAGTATTAAACACTGGAGGACCACAGTGAGACATTCCATAGCCTTAAAGAACGTGAAGTTAACTCTGACTTTAAAAAGTCGATTATTTAAGTGTGAAGTGAGACGAATCGTTTGAGATTATTGATAAGACACATATATATAGCTGACCCTATCAAAAGCCTTTGTAAAGCCAAGGTATATGACATCAACCTTCCCCTTGCGATGGAGAAAGGTTGTCCATCTGTTACTCGCAGTCAGCGGATTGGTTATACAATTGACATTTGTTGAAACCGTGTTAATGGGAAGAAAAGACGTTTGTTGATAGTAGGTAGTCACGTAGACTATCGCATTTCAGGGCCTCCATAAATTTTGAGGGTATTGAGCGACGTTCTACTGGCCTTGAGGACTACTTTATGAATTTATAATCCAGAGTATCAGAGTTTGTGCGGTCAGAGTCTGTGTTTTCCGGGACACTTTGCACAATGATATTCCTACCTCGAAAGAATGTCTCAAGAGATTCTTTCGGGATGTCCCTAGTGAAATCGCTCTCGGAATATGGTATTTCAGGAAGTATTCTTACATTCCCTTCTGGTTTCACCAGATAAATAGCCAGTAGGATACCTTCTACGCCATCAGTGCCGGTGAGCGTTAAATGAAGGAGTTCGGGGTGATTCTGGTGTTTGGAGTCCTTCCTCCCAGTGAGCCGCGTAACCATCAGTGGCTCAGATTTGGAGAATTTGAGCTTCTTGTCCAACTTTTCTTAGAACATCCTGTCTTTTTTGTCCTGTAGACTGAAAGGAAGGTCAGAGCTATATTTATGCCCATGAACATGTGGGAATCAGGTGACAGCGAAGTGGCATCTGAGTCGATTGCGTGGATCCTTCGTGATCATGGTGATATGTGAGGTGTTAGATTGGTCCGAGCGAGTTTATGACCTTAAAACAAACAAAACATACGCTTAAAAGGGATAGACAAAAACAGGTGGTACAAAAATTTATGATATACTAATACTAGCTTTCTTGTGGGAGCCTGTAAATCCTGAATGACAAGCTGAGGCAAAACCACTCTCAACTATTAGCTTGTGTAAAGCGGTTGATCCACAGCTAAAAAAGTGGTTTGTGTATCATTTTTCGTCTGTGATGACTTCAGGAAAGAAAGCGGGACTGCCATATGGTTAATTCTTACTATGTAGTTCAAAATGATCAACTCACAACTAGTCCAGATATATATGCACACACTTAATGTCGCTAATCGCTCTCCGGATAGATTATAAAGTAATCTTAGGACCAGTATGTCTGTAGCATTTTGAACGTTTTCCAGCAGGACGCTGTTTTTTCAGTCGCAGACTAGTGACTTGTATATAATAGTTGATTTTTGTGTAAACGGAATTGTTAACAGAGTTATAAATTGATTGCTATTTACGTGGTTGAATGCCGTTGTACACAACTTTTATTGGTTGCCGTGTAACACCACCATATCATTTATTCATGATAGACAAACATTAATTTCTCTGATTAGTAGGTATCCAATTGTTTGCAGCGAAACATTAGTGCTAAAAATTGTCACCGGTAGTGGACTAATTAGTTCATAGAACCAATGTCTACAGTCTAATCATATTTCGTCTTTTTAATTAATCTTGGTTGTCTCTTTAGACATATTTTTGCATGACAAGGTCTGATGAATCAATTAAACTGTTCCAAGGAAAAGATGCCAAGGGTATATGGTAATAGTAATTTATTATGTAAATTATTGAACATCAGTGATTCTGACTGAAGACTGAAGAGATTCAGACAAATACGAAATGAGTTTGCACTTCACCCCATCGCACAAGCTAGTGGCTATCAGGACTCAGTAGGTAAGTGAATAATACGAAGACGAGTGATCTTATCCGCGACGCAACCATGTAAACTTAATGTATCACCCAGTGTAATAACGGTCATCTGTGCGTTCAAGTAACCACAGATTTTGTTATTTCATACTGTATTTTTAATTAAATAACTAGATTATGTAGCTAATTTTGCTCTTTTTTTAATTTTTATTCGCCACGACTGACTGCGTTACACTGCACGTCCATTGCACGCTGGGATGATATCTCAAGTCATAGTGAGTTTATTCACATAGTTGATTGTTTCCAGATAGACTGTCAGTGCATGATTTTACTGAAGAAAGGTTTGTTGTACTGTAAACTATGTTTCTATGATTAACTGACTGCTGTCTTCAGTCGGAAAGCAATATATGTATTCTTTATCTTCTGTTAGGTAAGTTCATATGGCCTATATTTCGTCCTTTGATTTTATTGGCCTAATTATGTCCATTTAACTACTTTGAGCAACATGTCTGTGCAAATGAAACAATAATTATGACACTTGCTTAGTTTAGTATTCTTAGTTGTCGTATAATTTAGTTTAGTTGAAAGAATCATGTTATTCTTAAGTATAGTACTTGAAGCCTGTAACGAAACGGATCATTTTAATAAGTAGAGCCGCCTGTTTTGGATGAGTATACTGATTCAAATCAGTCTGATTAAAAATAGGAAAAAAACTTGCCTTTGATTCTGTTGTTGTCATATATTATAAGATAGCTTTAAGTACGATTGTTGTTTATTTGTAGACAATACGTCTAACACTGTTCATGTTCCAAGATCACTGTCATTAAACAATTTTCCCAGCAATAACATCAGTAGCAGGATAGCTAAGTGTCTGAGCTTTTATTTGCCTGCAGAAGAGCAGTATGCAGTCTTAGAAGATGAGTGTTCTGTGTCTCAATAAAGTGCAACTGGCTGTGAACAAATGTTAAGAATCTTTTTGAAAACTGGAACTTTTAGTTTATCAAACACAAACTCCGCTTGTATGTCTCCCTGTTAATCTAGATGAAGATGCATGGTAATACTTAAATGAGAGCAAAATGATAAAAGCATTGAGATACGGTACTACGTCCATGTTATGCTTTGCACAAGTAATAGTAGCTGACTTTATCTAATATTCATGAACTCAAAGTAAATCACAACTGCATAAATTCTTTGCTAAAAAACATGTAATTTGGTTATTTATCTATTTCACATTTCTGACTAAATTCATTATTATTTTCTCATTTAAAATGCAACAGGACTGAGCCTTCACAGATCCTAAGAACTGTTTCGCCCTTAGAACTATGGTCCTATGAAACTGTTTACAAGAGACCCAACTAACAGAAGATTATAAAAAGAATGTTGGATATCCATTTTAGTCTCACAACCACTTCCAGTACTTTTTGAGTTACTTCTTTTACTCTTTCGTTTGGAAGAAAACAACAGACTGAAGCTTAAAATAACCAGTGCAACTTTTAAACGGGAACACGGTTTAAGCCTTTGTTTGATATTCGATTCTTAATAAAAGTTCTTGAAAAATTTTTTGAATCTAATGCTACTTTGTTTTATCTACTTAATTGTTGCAAGAAACTTGTGTTAAGCAAGCCTCAGCACCTAGTTCATGTCTTTAAATGGTTGTGGACTGAATAGAAGCTTTCGCTTAATAGGCTTCCGTGTCTAGTAGAAGGGGATCACCAAAACCTGCAGGCCGGAACTTAGGTACGTTAACAACAAAAGAGGGAAAAGAAATTGGTAAATCATAGTATGATACTATCCTCAATCCTCAAGAATACATCCAGTTGCCTCTTAAAGAACTCACGGGAAGTCGCTTGGACTATCTCGGCGGGCATCGAATCCCAGCACTTGACAACTCCTAAGGAATAGAAGTTGCGTCTACAGTCCGTTCTGCTATGTTGTGTCTCTAGTTTCTGGGTGTTACACCTTAGGTTAGTGTTGGGACTAAGCTTAAGTAGGTGCTTAAGAGAATGCCCAGAAGTGTTAAGGATACTGTAAGCCATCAGGTCACCTCTAAAACGCTTATACTCTAATGGGTAGAGGTCAAGTGATTAGAGACGCTCTTCATAAGATGATTTGGTGCATATTTTCGTCATTTTCTTGGGAAACCTACAGACTCGGATCCTCTTACAACTTATTCTAGACACCATGAGTTGCCAGGGCAGCTGATGGATAGACAAGTGTTGCACATCCTAACCGTCTCCGAGTCTAATCTCATAGCTTCTCGAGATATA